CTGCTGCTGCTGCTGCTGGTGTTTGTTAGGTGGTTGGGGTTCTTTTGACTCTATCTCTATGGCTGGCTTCTGCGGCAGGGGACAGCCGATGCTCTGCAGGCGCAGCAGCAGCAGCAGCAGCAGCAGCAGCAAGGCAGTTGTCTCCTTTTCTGTTGATGGATACGGAGACATTCAACTCTCAGCGCTGCAGCAAAGTGAGATCTCATGTTGCTGCTGCTGCTGTTGCTGCTGCTGCTGCTGCTGTTGCTGCTGTTGCTGCTGTTGCTGCTGTTGCTGCTNCTGCTGCTGCTGTTGCTGCTGCTGCTGCTGCTGTTGCTGCTGTTGCTGCTGTTGCTGCTGTTGCTGCTGCAGCTGCTGTCCTTGTCCTAGCATCGACATAGCATCGGTTGCTGCTGCAGCTTGCTGCTGCAGCTTGCTGCTGCTGTTGCTGCTGCAGTTTGCTGCTGCTGTTGCTGCTGCAGTTTCCTGCTGCAACTTGCTGCTGCAGCTTGCTGCTGCAGTTTGCTGCTGCTGTTGCTGCTGCAGTTGCTGCTGCAGTTTGCTGCCTCCTGTCTCTTTCTAACGACATGTTGCTGCAGCTTGCTGCTGCTTGTTGTCTCCTTTTGTGCTGCAGCATTTGCATATGTTGGTGGTGCTGATCTCGAGGAGACAGAAGAGGGCCTGGAGGGGTCGTGGTTAGGGTTTCTGTTGGGGGCTTCTGCTGCTGCGCTGCTGCTGCTGCTGGCGTATCTACGCAAGAGGAAGCTGTCTTCATTCTTTAAGGAGAAACTGGGTCCTGTAGCAGCAGCANAGCAGCAGCAAGGACTGCAGACACCCGGGCACGTGCAGCTCTTGCTGCTGCTCCAGGGTTTGCTGCTGCTGCACCCAAGATTGCTGCTGCTGCAGTTAAAGCTGCTGCTGCTGCACTTCGCTCTGCTGCTGCTGCTGCTGCCAATGCTGCTGCTGCTGCACTCAAGGATCCTGCTGCTGCAGGGCAGTGGCTGTACACCGCAGGGGTGCGGCTTGCAGCTCGTGTGGGTCTCCTCTCTCGCAGCAGCAGCAGCAGCAGCAGCAGCAGCAGCAAAGGCTCATCAAGCAGCAAGAGAACTCTTCTTAGCAACATCGACCCCAGCAGCAGCAGCAGCAGCAGCAGCAGCAGTAGCTGCAGCAGCAGTGGCAGCAGCAGCAGAAGGGGCAGCATAGATAGCTTAAGTGACAGCAGCAGCTGGAGGCTGCTGCAGCATAGCCAAGCAAAAATTAAATCAAAGACAAGCAAGAAGGCCAAGTAGCCTCTTCCTATTGCTGCAGCAGCAGCAGCAGCAGCTGCTGCTGCTGCTGCAGCACCTGCTGCTGCACCTGCTGCAGCATCTGCTGCGGCAGCATACTTGTGCAGTAGAGTCGTAGGAGTAATAGTAGCAGCAGCAGCAGCAGCAGCAGCAGCAGCAGCAGCAGCTGCTGCTGCTGCTGCTGATGCTGCTGCTGCTAGTCAATGACAATTCTGAAGGACAACTCCAGGGCTCATCTGCCCCGTGTCTTAGCTTAAGGGGTTCTCCTCTATTCTTGCTTTTTGCTGCTGTTGCTGCTGCTGCTGCTGCTGCTGCTGCTGCAGTGCTCATGTGTTGCTGCTCATTCTGCTGCTGCTGTCACTTCTAGTCAGTCGTGCTGCTGCTGCTACACCGGCTGCTGCTGCTAGTTCTGCTGCTGCTGCTGACAGCAGCAGCAGCAGCAGCAGCACCTGCACTGTACTTAGGGAGGGACGAGCACCGCGCTGCTCTTAGCGCCATATATGCGAGTCTGCTGCTGTTGCTGCTGCTGCTGCAGCTCCTGTTGCTGCAGCAGCAGCAACAGAAGCTCATGCTGCTGCTGCTGCAGCAGCAAGAGCAGCATGAGCAGCAGTTGCAAGAGTTTGCCTTTAGCTGCCTTGTCAGTGCCGTTGCTGCTGCTGCAGCTTGCTTGTTGCTGCTGCTGCTTTTGTAGCTGCTGCCGCAGCTTGCCTGTAGCTGTTGTTGCTCTTGCTGCTGCTGTTGCTGCTGCTGCTGCTGCTGCTCTCTGCCTTGAATCTGCTTGCCTGCTAGCTACTAGCTGCTACCTGCTCCTGCTGCTTCTGCTGCTGCTGCTGCTGCTGCTGCTGAATGCTTGCAACTGTGTGCATGCTTAGTTTTGGGTGTCCCCTGCAGCAGCAGCAGCAGCAGCAGCAGCAGCAGCAGCAGGTGCTCTCTCCCCTCCCCGGGTAGTGAAGGTGGTCTCTAGGGTTTAGGGTTTAGGGTTTAGGGTTTAGGGTTTGCGGTGTGTCATGCAAAATATATTAAAGTTTTGAGTTGTTGGCCTTGTGGGCCCCGCCGGAGCGAAAGAACTATTATATATAAGAACAGCAAAAAGGAGACAGTTTGTGTTCACTGTCTCCTCTGTTGCTGCTGCCTGAGGCTTGCTGCTGCTGCTGCTGCTGCTGCTGCTGTAGTTGCTGCAGTTGCTGCAGTTGCTGCTGTTGCTGCAGCACGAGAGACAGCTGCTGCAAGAAGCAGCAGTCCCCTATGTGTCTCCAAACTGCAGCACGAGACAGCAGCAGATACAGCAGAGACCTAATCTATCAAAAGGAGACAGTTGACGCTCCCCCTATATATCTCTTCCTCCTCCTCCTCCTCCTCTTCCTTCTCCTTCTCCTGCTGCTGCTGCTGCTACTGCTACTGCTACTGCTGCTGCTGCTGCTGCTGCTGCTGCTGCTGCTGCTGCNCTGCTGCTGCTACTGCTACTGCTACTGCTGCTGCTGCTGCTGCTGCTGCTGCTGCTGCTGCTGCTGCTGCAGGGTTTATGCACCGTGGTCAGTGAGGGGTCCCTCTCCATCGACCTCAGGCTCTAGGGGTTCTAGGGGGTCTCCATCCTCTTCTCTGTCTTCCTCAGCATCCTCCTCTGGTTCCTCTTTGTCTCCTTCTTCTGCTGCTGCAGCATCTGGGGCCCCAGAGACAAACCCATCAGCATCCTCAAGAGAGCTGCATGCAGTGAAAAGGAGACAGTTTTTTGTTGCTGCATGAAAGCTCCAGCATTGACCTGGCTCTGCTCTTGCTGCACACTCCATTGCTGTTGTTGGGTCTGTCTCCTCATCGTCTCCTTTTGCTGCTGCTGCTGCTGCTGCTGCTGCTGCTGTGCTGCTGCTGCTGCTTGCTGCTTCTGCTGCTGGGAATTGAGCCACTGGAGAACCGCTGTACTTCTGGCCCAGCTTAAACTCCCCTGAACAACCCCACCAAAACAACACCCT